CGAATATTAAGGTGCGACGGAGCCCGATGGGACCTGCACAACGGGAGCTCGTCCGTGAGGGTGGGCGTATAGGTACGTATCGGGTACGAGGCATCGAATTGCGCGTTGCAAGGGAGAGACAGCCACAGAGAAGGCTGGAAAGATGTCAAGATACCGAGATCTGGGCATGCGAGGTGCTGATGGTATGTGGGAGGAGCGAGGTGTACATTTGATACGTGCGTACCATGCTATGCCATGCCTTTTGCTGACGGGAGACGGCTGAGTGGGCCATCCGGAGTAATAAGACGATAGAGGCACCTTCATTATGGTGAAGGATATTGCATCAAGGTTAGACAACTCTGCGTATAATCGAACAACGCCTCGTCAATCCGACCCGTGTTATGGCGCGCATGAGGTAACAAATCGCAGACAAGACGGGCGCAGCCACGGTGGCATCGAGATGGATGTGTGGAGGCCAGAGACGCTGAAGGAAATGCGACATGCGCAAACATGTGCGGTCCGTCGTTCGAAGGCGAGAGGAAGGTCGGCCGTCCGGTCTCGCAAACATTGATGGTCAGCCAGTCAGACTTTTGTACGTTAATTTGGAGAAATGCGTCCTGCCATGTTGATGCAAGGAACCTCGCTGCTGCCTCAATGTCGTCCACTGGCAGTCGTCTGCAACTATGCGATTGCAAACAGGACAATCCTGCCTGGGCAGAGCTATGTAATCACGTAGTGAGGTGATGGGCAGGGGTTACTGAAGGTGTGCGTCGCAGGATGGCGGGCTGTTTTCCCATGTGTTTGACTTCAATGACTTGACGGGCCACACCGCACCACTGGCAGTCAACGAGCGACTGAGAAGAGACGGGATGGCATCGGACGAAATGCAAATGTTGCGGGCGGCGAGGAGCGCTGACTGACTCTGACACCGCTGCAGCACTGTTGCGCTGGTTGCTTGTATGGATTATGATGACAACCGAGAATGACAAGACCCCCTGAACCATGTCTTGACCCCTGTCCTAGCAGCTTGGATGCCCAGCCCAGCAACAGGGATGGCCAGAGTTTCGTTTGACAGAGGTCCGCAGGAGTCCTAGTTACAAAGGTATCCGTCAGTTCAATCGCGATACGACTCTGCAGCGTCTGCATCTGCTGTGCATGAGAAGAGAGATATATTCACAATGCAAGTCAACAGTCGAAGGTGGGATTGAGAGGCCAGATTGGCCACCCACGGCGGTCACGAATCGTGGAAAGCCGCATCTCGTGGTCCTTGAAGAGGCAGGCGCGTTCGGCAATATGCATGGCCTCTCATCTCAGGTACAGGGTATGCTGCACTGCACGGCGCATGTGGTCTTGGGATGATGCGAGCACTGAGCAGGTAGACCACATACTGCCAAGATGGCTCACAGGATGCGTTTTTCGTTGCCTCTTCTTCCAGAGGAGCCACGGAGCCTCATATCGGGAGGAACAAGATTTGAAGATGGGGACAGAGCAACGGGGCGGACGGACGCGCGGGCAGATGGGCTGCATGATCCGCGGCTACCCTTGCTGGAAGGGCCATCCCATCTCAAATATGTGGCATGGATTGAGGCGGGCATGAAGTTGGATCCCGCCGTCGCCTGTTAGTTGGGAGCTCTCGGGCTTCTCGAACGATGTGGAGGCGCCGTCGAGGCTTGATGCCAGTTTGCGTTGACCGACTTTGAAATATCCAAGATGAGAATGTGATGCCTGGCCCGTGGGGTTGCTGCAGATTGAGGCCCTCGGAGAAGCGGTGCCTGGATAATTGGCAGGTTCGAAGAGGTTGTGGTGACGTCTTGAGGCCGGATCCCGACGATATGGAGAAGCTACAAAGTCTAGAGTGATGGACTCAGATTGGGTTGTGTCGTGGAGATGGTGGAACGTGTGTGGTGTCTGTGAGATGTGGGATCATGGGATGAGGTGACAGAAATTTCATAGAAAAAGAAAATCCAAGATATATCGGGAAGGCTTGACTTGGGGAGGGGCATCCTCGCCCTCTTCCCCCGTTCTTTCCCTTTCCGTATTCGTACGGTACCTACTGTAGACGACTCCACGGGCAAGAACTATCACCGACCGTCTGGTCCTGTCATCCGTGAAATGTCCATGTCAGGCTGAGTTCCGGTCAATGTCGAATTCCAGCTGCTCCCTTCACAAAGACCCAATCTCGAGTCGAGGCCGCAGCCAAGACTTGCAATATCGGCGTCAAATATCAGTGCTAGCGTTCGCATCAACACCACCACCAGCCACATCCACGTTTCGGCTGTCGTGCAACCCACATTTGGTCTCACATGGTGGTGGTGGTGGTGGCTGCTAGTACCTTACGGCTAAAAGGATACGACTCAGAAGTAGGATAGCTTCGACTTACATCGGGAAGCCTGCGAAGTACACGCAGAGAAAGATGCGTGGGCTGAGACCTCACCTAAGACAGCCCGCGTCGAAAAAGACTCGACAATTCCTACCCCGAATGGGAAGACGTGCCTGTTGTCCGAATCATTGTTCGAATAGTTTATACTGCGCGCCGACTGCCATTTCAGCATTGCCTGTGATCCGCCCTCTTCTCCAGCAGCTAGGCAGCCAGGTACGGAAGGGCACATCCATCCATTCCATCCATCCCGGCTGCCGCTGCCGCTGCATTGACGGTCATAATTAATACTCTCGGGCCAGCAATCCAGTCCAATCCAATCCAACCCAAGCCCAAGAGAGAAAAGCAACGACGAATTGCCCACCCATCTTCCATTCATCCAGCCTGCGCGTGGTGGTGCTTGGACGGCCATGGGTGCCATAATTTAACGAGACGACATCTCCTCATTTTCGATTGTCAGCCTGAGCGGCCCCAAACACCACCGCCAAACAACCTCACTTGAGGCGGATGATACCGACGATACGGGCAGAAAGAGCTTCGGTGCAGATAGTCAATCAACCTTCAGCTCAGCTCGATCCTACCTCGACGTCAGAAGGTTGCTCTCGATCCGGATACCCTGCCGAAACGACGTCCAACACGACACAACAACCGCGAGCGCAACCCCGTTACCCCGTCCGGGCTGCTTCAGAAGCTCAGCCATCATCTGCACTTCTCCTTCCTCTTGCATACCGCTGCAGCAGGACAGCAGCAGTCGACAAGTCAGTCGCAGTCGCATGAGCGGCCTTCGTATGTGCAGAGGCAACTAGCTACCTAGTCGCAGCATTAGCGGGTTTGGGTGTGTATCTGGTACCTGCATCAGCTCCTAGGTGCATGTACCGCACCTGCTGGCTTTTTCCCGCTTTTCCCCCTGAGGCCCACGCACATCTCCGCCTTCACTTTCCTGGGCGGTACTTGCATTGCGCACCACCCCTGCAGGTACACGATACCCTGGAAGCCACTCTTGAATCCGCGCTCTCTCTTCCCAGCCAGGTCAACCAGGGCAGCCAGCTCGTCTCCAATCTCGCTGCCGTTCTGCTTGCTTGCTCTCTGCTCCTCCCGCCCTCGATTCGTACGGCGGATACCCAGCAGCAAGAGACTGGAGTGCACCGCATCGTACCAGCACCAGCACCAGCAGCCCGCAGTTCCAAGTTCCTCGTCGCGCTTCGCGCTACGCTGCTGTTCCAAATATCGGGCGCCCTGCAACCGGCACGCCCCCAAGGTCTCATCTCGTCAATTTTACTCCAACGAGCACGACGGGAGTCTGACCGTTCGCTGGCTCTCCTCCCTCGCAGTCCAGTCTCCCCTCGTCCAAGCCAAGACAAGGCCCATTCCCACTTCCACCAGCGCCCTTGCCAGCGCCAGCGCCAGTCCTTCTCTTATTCTAGTTTGGTCTCTGATCCCTCTGGTCTGGTCTGTCCCGCGCCGTCGCCGCCGCCGACACCACTCCTCCACACCTTTCCCTCCTACCGCCTCGCTTCAGGTCGGGCCGCACTCAACTCACCTCATCCCACCACCACCTGCGTACGGTGCAGACAATACCTTACAACACGCAGTGCACCTTCGTTGCTGTTGTCGTTGTCAGCGTCTCGTCTCGTCTTGTTTTTCCGACCGACGATCCAACCTCGCCCCGATAGTCTGCCGCTAGCCTCGACCTTGCGAAGGCGACGAAGCGCACCATCGACAGCTTCGACATTCAACCAAAAGTCAACTCCAGGAATTGGGCCCGCGCGCCCATACCGCTGCTGTCTTGCCTGGTATCGTTCCAACTCCTCAAGAGCTCCAAAGTCAAGTCAGGCGACCTCAATTGGCCAACAATAGGGGTTTATCAACAACAACGTTGGATTGCCCGCCGCCAAATTCCAGCCTGCGCTCTCCCTCAATCAAACTACACCACCACCAACACCACAGACAACACCACAGCTTTGGCTGTCTTTCACTCGCTCCCTCCTCCCACTGTCTGCAGCAGCCCCGTGTGGTCTCAGACGGTGTCAAGACACACACAAGAGGGATAGGCTCAAAGCCCGCACTGCTGCTCACAACAACAAAGTGTGTGCGTGCGTGAGATCGCCCCCCCTTGTCGCGCCTTTTTTGTGTGTTGCGGTGTTGACTCGACCTACCACAGACGGTCGCCGCAGACAATTCGTCCTGGTTGAGCTGCAGTAAACAACAAATCGGCAGCCCTGGTCCAGAAAAAAGCCCCCTCCCAAAGCGATACCCTTACACTCGCGCCATGAAATAGCCAGAGCCAGAGCCCGATTCATTGGTACAGCAGACAGACAACGCAGCCCAAGGTCCATAATACCTCCAATCGGACTCGACCATCTCATCCCAATTCTGGCCGACTTAATTCCTGCAGCTCATTAATTCCTGCGTCCTGAAACCTGCTGCCAGACCGCCGCAGAGAACTTCAATTACTCACTCTCCTCGCTCGCTACTCAATCCTGCCCGCCCAGGCGACCATTTTCTCTCCCTTGGCTCCTTCGGCGCACCAACATCGCAGACCAACTGGTTAGCGATAGCCGCGAAACAAAACACGCCAAAATAGAACGGCTGCTCAGTCGAACTCTATTTTCCTCCGCGCCTGCGTTTTCAACGTCACAGAAGCATGTCCTCGGCCACCCTGCAGCCTGCCCATCAAACACCAGCTTTGGCATCACCGCCTCTAGTCGCAGCCTCACCGAATAGCCGCCCCTACACGTCGAACCATTCCTCTCCAACCCGCGAGGCGTACAATGCGAATCTGAAGACCACGACTTCCTCTCCTGCATCTTCACACCGCCCCTCAGGACGACCGAGCGGAACCGGCGCGTCTGTAAACAGTCCGGATCCAGTCTCGCCCATGACGTCCCGAGCTGGCCCCGCCAGTCCCGTCGCCGTCGCGCCTTCCTCCCCAGACTACCAGTCTTCATCCTCCGAACGACGAAAAAACATGCCGCCCGTCGCCCCCCCTCGAACGTCTTCGACGAACTACACGGGCACCTCCAACAGCGCCTCCTCGAAAAGACGCGATCACGCAGCCGATAAGGCTGCCTCTTCCCCACGACGTGCCCAACCTGACGGCACCAACGGCAATGCCGACTACTCTTATTCAGACGACGCTGCTGCCTCTCGCAGCAGAAGATCACACCAGCAAATGGCTCCAGACTCCCCTCACCGCTCCAGCGGTCGCCCGGGAAGCCAGCCGACGGTAATCCCTGTACGATCCCATGCGGCCCCGCAGTCGACCGCGTCTCCCAAGCAGCCTATCCGTGAGGGAAGCGATGTCCTGAACAGAATGGTTGTTTCTCAACCCGAAGTAGATGTCGCCCGCGAGAAGGAGCGGTTGGCGGAAGCTCAGCCTCAGCGCGTCGGCTCCTCCCACGACGACGCCGTGCCACCTCCAATTGGCATGTCCGAACACGACGATGGCAGACGAGGAGGCAGAAGTCGACACGACCACTCTGGAAAACGCGACAAAGTTGTCAGATTTGGTGACTACATTCTCGGAAACACCATTGGGGAGGGTGAGTTCGGAAAGGTCAAGCTCGGATGGAAGCAGGACGGTGGTGTTCAAGTGAGTTTATTGATCCGATGGTGATACCCACCACAAACTAATTTTACGGGTATAGGTCGCTATCAAGCTGATCAAGCGAGACAGCGTTGGCAACAACCCCTCCAGATTGGCCAAGATCTACCGCGAAATTGCCATTCTGAGAGGCATCTCTCACCCCAATATTGTTCGCCTGCACGAAATGGTGGAGACAGAAAGACACATTGGTATCATTCTCGAATACGCATCTGGTGGTGAGCTCTTCGACTACATCCTCAACCACCGCTACCTGAAGGACAATGCGGCACGTCGACTGTTCGCCCAGCTCGTTTCTGGTGTGGGCTATTTGCACAAGAAGGGTATCGTTCACCGAGATCTCAAGTTGGAAAACCTGCTTTTGGACCGTAACCGCAACATCATCATTACCGACTTCGGCTTCGCAAACACCTTCGATGCCGAGGAAGAGCTTTCCGAAGAGGAAGAACTGAACCTTGGTGATCGTGAATTCGTCAAAAAGTTGGGACTTGATAGGATCAAAACCAACGGCACAAGGAAGGGCGATCTGATGCAAACGAGTTGCGGCAGTCCTTGCTACGCTGCACCCGAGCTCGTTGTTAGTGACTCGCTTTACACCGGTCGAAAAGTTGACGTGTGGAGTTGCGGTGTAATCTTGGTGAGTACAGCTACTCTGGTGATACAGACGTGCTCGAAGCTGACAAGAACTTAGTACGCGATGTTGGCAGGCTATCTTCCCTTCGACGATGATCCGGCGAACCCTGAGGGCGACAACATCAATCTCCTGTACAAATATATTGTCAACACTCCTCTCACATTCCCCGAATACGTTACCCCCCACGCGCGCGACCTCCTCCGCCGAATCCTTGTCCCCAACCCCAGGAAACGTGCCGATCTCTTCGAGGTTGCCCGGCACAGTTGGCTGAGCGAGTATGCCCACGTCGTGGAGTTCATTACGAGTAGCACCACGACGCCTACTCAGATTCAAAATACAACAGTGCCTTCCGAGGAGCAGGAGGCATCCGGTCTTGCTCGCAGCGCTTCTGTGCGCGAGTCGTCCAAGACGAAGGCCAATACGCCCACATCTGTGGGAGGTCTCGCCAGCAAGCATGCGAAGATCGACGCCGATGCGGAGGCAGCCGCTATTGCCAAGCAACAAAGGGACAACAAGCGCCGTACTGTACAGGTTGAATATGTTGCGCCGACGACGCAGACGCAAAGAGGAGAGTACGCAACCGGAAGTAAATCGCGGGCGCGTTCAAACAGCCAGGGCCCCGTCGAAGTAGCCGAGGAGCCGGTTGCTGCAGAGAAGCCGCTGCCGAGAGACCCTCCCGTATCAAGAGACTCGTACAGGTCCAGCAGACAAGGCACAAGACCGCCAAGTGCTCACCGGAACACGGCTGCGCCGCCGCCGACAAGACCGACCCGCGATACTCGTGCAACCTCCGACAATGCGTTCGTATCATCAGTCTCAAACCCACCGCCCACGGCGAGACCTCAGACAGGAGGCTCAATGGCATCAGGCTCCATGGGACTGGGAGCCGGTGCCCGAGGATCGTACGGCCAACCTATTCCCCCGGCCGTCGCAGGTACTAATGCTCAAGGAAGGATCCAACAACCGAACTCCCAGGACCCGCAAGCCATGGGACGACCCAGCGTCGCCGTCCCCGCCAAATTCGCCAAAGTCGCCGGTTTCCCCGAACAGCAGCAACCCCCGCAGAGCCAGACACCGTCTCAATCGAGCGACGGCAGAAGCCACGGCCACAAGCGATCCAACACTATTGGTGACCTTGGATCGAAGTTGCTGGGTCGAAACGGGTCCATTTTCGGTGGTAAGAACCGCAGCAAACGGCCCGATTCGCAGAGCGCAAACCGGAAGTATCCTCCAGTCAGCATGCCTAACAACATGCCGCTCGAGGGTCAACCCCGTCCTTCGATCGACTCCAGGGCGTCCCGGCGGTCCTTCTCACTGGGTCTCGGCAAGAAGCGAAGCGGTAGCATCGCAGATTCGCAAACTTCTCGCGAGAAGCCAAACAGGCGGTTTTCACTCATTCCTCAGTCATTCTCGTTGAAGGCCATCGGGCTTGGCAGGGATTATGACCACCACCCACCACCGTCCGAGCCTCAGTCTCAACCCGACTTGCCTATCCAAGATCCCCCTGAGGTCGACGAGCATGGCAGGTATGTGGATCAGCGGGGCCAACCTCGTGGTTACGATGGAGGATACGACCAAGGCTATCGCCAACCTGGGTCCAACTCAGCACCGCAACTCCAACGTCAAGGCTGGCAGGAGCAGCAGGGCCAGGATCAATACATGGGCCCGATCGGTCAACCAAGCGCGGTGCCCGGCCACATGCAGCATGGCGCCACATTGAACACTGGATCCGAATCATCCTTTGAGAATCCTCAATCACGAAGACGGTCAGGAATTCCGCAGCCAACTGGTGGCTTCAGCTCTGAAGGCTACGACGGAGGCCGAGGAAACGGCCGGTCGGGCGTGCTACAGAAGAATAAGAGATTCACGGACGCCTACAACCAGGACCAATACCACGGCCACCAAGGCAGCAGCGGAGCAGCCAAGAGAGTCATGGACTTCTTCCGCCGGCGGGGCAAGGCGAGAGGCGGCGAAGAGAGATAGAGGACTCTTGATGCCCTTGATTGCACGCCATCCGCGGATTCAAGCTCGCGGCCTCTTTGCGGTGCTCGTTCATCTCAGATGAGCTTATCCCCGGCACGACGTGTTGAGCGTTGAGAAGGGGGATGCAACACCACTCACTCCTCTATTCTACAATTTCGAGGTTTTTAATGTGTGAATACCAAGCCAAGAGAATGTGGTTGGTCTCTTGGTCTCATTGTCAGATGTCCATGTTGTCTTGATCGCCTACTGCATTGCAGGCGAAACGGCATAGAAAGGTGGAAGGAGTTTTCGTTCGTGGTTCCTCACTTCGTAATAGGGAAATTTGTTATTTCTTGCGTCGATTGACGAAGGGGTCTGGGAAAGGTCTTTTTTCGGTACAGACGGATTGGTGGTTTTTCTTCCTCAGCAAAGGATCATTTGCAGTCGTTGGTTCAACTCGTCGTTTTCCTCTTAATTTGATGGCATCACAGCGACAATCCTCGATTGCTCGCTTACGGCGGCAAAGGCGTACGGGAACACAGAAGAAGAGAGCCAGAGTTGCGGTGGTCGAGTTGTCAAGCGTATTGTGTAGCGAGGTAGAAGACGGCCCAGCCTCGTTTAGTTGTTCCGTGTAGGGTTGAAGCGTATTGAGAGCTATATTGAATGGCGAATCTGGCCAGGCACTGTTTTGCGACCAAGTGAAGTCATACCGCGATCCCATTACGAGAAGCAATCACGCAGCTCAATCATTCGGAGAGTGCTCATCGCATCTAGCAAGCTGCTACTGATCAACTGATGACGGGATGACCCGCTAGATGGCTTGGCGGTGGCCATGATGTCTTGGCAGAAGCCAAGACTGCGCATGTTCCACCGGCGGTCCCTTCTGGAGAGGAAGTCCGGATGTTTTTTCCTGCTTTTTTTCTATCTCTCTCATCTCGGGGCTCGCCATTGCGGTGGCACGGGTGGGTGGCTCAACACTAACACCCCGTCATTGTGGCTTAGGGCTACGCATACGTGGCGCAGCTGGGAATGGACTCCGAGAATTTTGACGTCACTTTCGGCACGTGGGCTCCGGCTTGGTATTCCTCTGGCAGGGCTCTCATTGGATGTGCGTGAATGGAAGCGGCTCCGTTCCGTGTGTGATTGAAGCTTGACTTGATTAGTTTAATTCCCCTGAACATCTGGGAGTGTGACCGGTGTGACTGGTGAAGGGAAGGGAGTGCGAGAGAGAGCTGTTGTCAGATCGCGCGGATGACGCGTTCTTTGCGGCCGTTGGCAACATGCACGATTGGACTGATCCTCTTGTTTCTTTTGGGTTTTACGGTTTCCCATGTTTCCTTGGGATGCAGGTTGTGCAAGTGCCCTCTCTTTCTCTCGCTCTCTTCTCCAATGTTTCGCCCGGCACATGAATTAGGTTGTGGGCTTGTTACTGCAGATGGGGACGGATGAGGGCCAGACCGGCCGGCGGTTGGGGGATGGGGGGATGGGAATTAAGTTGCAGAGACGTGTAACTGTTTCTGAAAGATGGGCTCGGCCAAGCAAAGCAGAAAAGTAAGGCGAGGCGAGGCGAGGGGAGCGGTTCGTCGAAGGTCGGAAAATTCGAGGTAAGGTACGAGGTGAAGGGAAAAAAGAGTGGTTCCGTGCACCGGGGAGGCAGTCTTTGCAGATACGGTGAGAGAGAGAGCATGGGCAAGGGCCTCTGTATCTTCCATGTCTGTTCCATTGTTTGGGAAGCTTTTTTGGGTTGTCCTCCGCAGGCTGCTGGTGGGAATAGTCATGACTCTCTTACTCTGCATGTTTGGTTGTCTACAACTTGCGTTTTTGCGTATGAGGTGCAAATAGCCGGGCCGGATGGATCTTCCTCGCGTAGACATGCCGCTGCACAGGGCACACGTGTTGTTGACAATCACACAAGGGAGGTTTTGACAGCCGAGCCAGGTGCGAGGGTCATCCTCGGGGTGTAGTCTGTCTGATAAGGCATTTGTGCATTACTGGGCGGGAGGGGGGAATGCGAAATGCGTGTGACCTGTGGGTTTCCTGGTTCCTGGCTTTGAGTTGGCTCCTTTGTCGCCTCTTATGAAGAGAGCAGCGAGAAGAAGAAGCAGGAGGAGGCATAGTAGGTGGATGGACGGTTGGATCATGAGAGTACCATAGTGTCTTTTTACCGACAAAGTAACCCGCGAAACTAGAAACAAGACAGATGAGGGGGAAGAATGGACCGACCGTCCGTGTCTTTCGGGCCATGTTTCGAGATTCTCCTCTTGCTCTGCCGCCTTGTGAGGAGAGATCGAGGAAGAGAGAGAGAGAGAGGGGGAGAAAGCGTCCATCATCTGGACTCGCTGTTCTTGGCGCACGTTGCGACTTGAGTCGGAGGAAAGGCCGCGCGAGAGTTGCGGTGGTGGTCTAAGTGCTTGTTTCTTGAAGAAAGGTGGACAACAGTGTTTCCCGCGCTTTTGTCTCTCTCTCGTTTTCACAGGTAGGTATTTGTGCAGGTTTCCTGCTTCAGTATGTTTCCAACGGGTGATGTTTTGTTTGGATCGTTTGAAGTGAACATGATTTAAGCTCGTGCCGCCCACGGCTTGGCTTCCGTCCGGTGGGAGAAAGAAGGCATCGTCGGCCGGTCGCAGAGGGCTCGGACGCGAAGCTGCGGTTTCTGTTTGTTTGGACGGTGGGTGTCAGTGTGGCGTAGGTTAATTCGCGACCGGCGCCTTGATTACTACACTGGGCCACAGTCTAATGTGAGTGTGTGTCCCTTCTTTTGCTCCTTCCCTTCCTCTTCACTAGAGCGGACTGTCGGTCTTTGGTGATGTTGGGACGGTGCGAGACGAGGGTTATTGCGAATTAGACTACGACTGTGAGGCTCAGCTGCACAGTCCGGGCGGAGCGGGCGGAGCGAGGGAGGACACACCTACTCACAGTGAGGGGAGGGGAGGGGAGGGTAGGTAGGGTCAGGGATGGGTGGCTGGCACTTGGAGGAGGGAGCATTAGGTATCCCACTTTCCGTTGCGCGAAAGGCCGTTGCTGTCCGTTGTCACAGTCATTATCTGATGGTTGCTTATTAGTGCGTATCCACTGTGAGTCTCGGTCGACGGCGGCCCTTTGTTGAGAAGGAGGCTGAGATGACCCTCGATGGCGAAAGACGTTGAGGCGAACAGCAAGCAATCGATTTCGGTTGCCAAGAGGCCTCCTCCTTAGTCCGCAGTCCGTCAATCGTCGATACGGATGCTATGGATGCTATGGATGCTATGGATGCTGTATGTGATGTACAGGCAATGATGTGTTTCTCCCCTTGCAGCGGGTTGATTTGATGATGGGATGTGATATCATTGCCAATGGATGAGCTGGATGGAACCTGGATCTGGATCTGCCATGATGGAAGTTGATAGGCGAGGGGACTGTGACAGCATGTACATGCAGGCAGGCCGATGATGCATTGTTGCCGCTGCTGTACTCGGCATGGCGTCGTCGTCGTCGTAGTCGTCGTCGCCTTCCTACCGGCTCTCGCCCAGTCCTGCTTCCTCCACCCACGTGTACGTACCGTTCCATGGCGAAAGCTTGGTGCGACCGCAACGCCCTTTGGTCCACGGCGCAGGTTCCAGATTGCAGTGCCTATGACATCCCTTGCACGGTACCTTAGGTACCTTACACCGCGGGATCAATTCTCCACTTCCCTCCAGAGTCCAGACATGTCATCAGGAGAGCTCCGGTTATCTGATGCAGCATTGCAAATCAGGGTCACGACCAACTGGAGTCTTCATACTGCGTATGGAAATAGAAACAGCGGTAATGGTATCCGTAGTGTAGAGAGAACAGAGACTCACGAAGGAAAAACAATCAAAGATGGAGAAATTGTGGACGCGCCACGATAGTGCCTGAGGCAGGTGACCAGCGCTCTCTTACTGTATCTGGCACTGAACTTCGGCGGCGGTTCATCCACTAGAACGTTTCGACGTTAGCGATTGGCTTCGGGCATGCCAGATAGCGACAGGGGCTCCCTGCAGCGAGAGCTGCCCCATGTTCGGCGGGGGGCCACCCCTGTCGTGATTGGGGACCTTGATTTTACCTCCACGGTAGCTCTGGCGGCCGGTACACTTCCGCGTTCCCACCATCCATCGGCCTTCCGTCCCAAGGTGAGCGAGACTTCACTGAGGTGCGCTGCGAGAGGGAAGGGAGCGGTGCGGTCCAGTGCAGTGCAGCGAGCTAAGGTCCCCGGCTGGGACGTTGCCTCTGCCTCATGCCCATCGCATCCGAGTTCTTTAAAGCATCCCTCGTCTCGCGCGTCCGACCGCAGTCTCGTCTGGGTCCTTCTTCTCTCTCTTACTTGCCCTTCCTCCCCCCTCTCGAAGCTTGTCTTCATCTTGGTTGCGTCCCTTCTTCACCCATCAAACACATACCACAACAGTATCACACTTTCTTGTGACTTTATCTCAGAAGTAGCATCTCCGCCGAGACACGAGTGTCCGGTCATCAATTTCGATGAAGAAAGCCTCTACAGAACCGCCCAATATAGACAGTCGTGCAGCAGAAGCAAACGCGCATGGCGTCCACCGCTCCTCCTCCAAGCGATCCAAAGGCAATCCGGCTGCTCCCATAGACGCCATCGAACCTTTCCCCCTCTCAAACACCACGACCTCCAGCTCCAGCAGCAACAATGGCCGTGCCGACGACATCATCACTTCGTCCAACATCACAAGCTCCTCCGCGAGCAAGAACTACCTCCCCGACTACGAAAAGTCTGCTGCCCGCGAGAATGGCCTCACATCTACGCAGGTTGAGGGGAAGGGGTCTCTCGTAGGAAACGGGGTTGGTCCTCAGGACAACAGCAACAACAACAATAACACCCACCCTCAGCAGCAGCAGACAGCCGCTCCGGCCCAGACCGAGAAGCCCAATGTCGCTACTCGCTTTTACGAGACGAGCAAGATGATCATGTTCCACAGCTGGGTCAACCTGCTCCTCGTCTTCGTGCCCGTTGGCATCATTGTCAAGGGATTGCACGTGAACCCTGGCGTGGTTTTCGC